TTTGTTTACGTCCTCGTGTTTTTTTTCCAGGAGCAAGAAGGTTCGTCGACTCTACTGAGTGCCTTGCATTCCTTAACATTCTTCTGTACACAGGGGGCGTCGCTCCACGACTCTCCACATGCCCAATCTACAAAAATCATGGCTGCGTACGTATCTTTCCATGTTGTAGCGGTAGATACACTCCCGTTTTTTGCACATTTGGAGAGCAGTGGCGGGCGGGAGGGAGGGAGGGCCATTGTTGTTTCTTTCGTTCTTCTCTCCCTGCAAGTTCCAGTATTTGCTACTTATATAATATAATATACTAGTAATACACTTAGGGCATACTCATCACACTAGGACTTTTTTACTTATTTCTGGACGTAATTGCGGCCAGATGCATACGCGTTCGGCCGAAAATGGGGTCAGATGCATTTAAGATCGTGCTACCGGTACTGTGAGTACGCCCTGAGTAATAACAGGAATCTTGTGAAATGACCTCAGCCGATTAAACCTCGCGCTATATTCTTAAGTGCGGAATCCTTTCTTAACAAGTTCAACTTGTATATTCTTCTATTTTAGTCTTTTTTTCTTTTCTTTTTTTTAATTTATTTAAAACAATTCCAATACAGAATCCAATTGTGAGGCCGGAGTCCTCACAATTCAACCCGGAGTATCTGATATTTTAGTCTTTCGTTATTCCTTACGCTTTTTCTGTATTCTTTCTTTGTCCCTTATATTAATATATACGAAACAGTTTGTCACAGCCCCTCGTTTGTTGTCCTCTTCTCTCTCTCTGCCTACGGTTTACCGGGCAGTTCTGTTTGTGACGTACTGTTTGTGACGTATCGTCACAAACAGAACTGCCCGGTAAACCGTAGGCAGAGAGAGAGAAGAGGACAACAAACGAGGGTATATATATATATTATATATCGTCACAAACAGAACTGCCAGGTAAACCGTAGGCAGAGAGAGAGAAAAGGACAACAAACGAGGGGCTGTGACAAACTGTTTCGTCGGAGTTTCACCGACTCATCAGGAGGCTATATATCTATATATCGTCATATACATATAGATATAGATATATACTATTTGTGACGACATACAGATATATAAAATTTAATGTATTCGTTATTATATTCTTCGTTTACTCCTTATATACTTTTACATTTTGTCTAATCGTCTCTCCCGCCCCGGTCCTCCGTTCTTTCTCTCTTCCATCCCTATCTCCGACTCTCCATCTCTAGCCTTTCGTTATTCCTTATGCTCTTTGTATTCTTTCTTATCCTTTATATTACAGTAATATAATAATGTAAAAATATTCTCGTTATTACATTCTTGGTTCACTCACATTTCATCTATTAATTCTCTCCTCCCCCCCTCCCCCCTCCCCTTTCTTTCCTCCGTTTCTCTTCCATCCCCATCTCCAACCCTCCATCTCCATCTCTCGCTTTCTCCGGTCCTACTCTCCACTCCTCCATCCCTTTCTCCGGTCCTCCATTTCTTTCTCCAGCCGTTCACACCAATCTCCAGTCCTCCATCCCTATCTCCAGCTCTCCCTTTCTTTCTCCGGTCGTTCCTTTTTTCTTTTTTTTTTTTTCTTTTTTTTTCCCCCCAATCTTCGGTCGCTCGCACCTATGTCCGGTCTTCCATATGCCTATCTCTCCAGCCCTCCATTTCTTCTCCGGCCGTTTTCTTTTTTTCTTTCTTTCTTTTTTTCTTTTTTTCTTTTTTTCTTTTTTTCTTTTTTTCTTTTTTCCCCCCCCTTTCTCTGGTCGTTCACACCTACTACTACCTTCCGTGTTCCATATGCCTATATTTCCATGCCTGCCTATCTCCGATTATCTATTCCTATCTCCGATTGTATATATATACATATATCGTCACATATATTCCTATCTCCGGTCCTAGTGCCGAACACAGCTGTTCCTTTCTCCGGGGTCCTCTCGTTTACTATATCAGCCGATCCTTCATTCGTCGGCTCTTTAATCTCCACCTCCCGTCCGAGTATCAATAAACTCATCGTCTTCATAAGTACTAAAATTGATTGACTGATTGCAACTAGTTGATTGTCCATGATCGATTAAATAAGAACTATTTTATTTTTTTTGTGTGTGTGTGCGTCAGCTTGCTCCTCTGCTTCGCTTGTAGCGCTGCCTTCGCTCGTTTCTCTTTTGACTTCTTTCAAGTTGTTGCTCGACGTCTCTTCAGTCAATACGACCGACAGATCAAACTGTTGTTGTTTCGAATGTGCATGCACAGGAAAGCAATCCCAACGACAAAAAACGATAGCCTAAGGGAAAAAGAACAAGGAAAACGAATCAATTGGCCTCTCTACAATGTGGCATGCACGCGATGCATGAGAGCACGGCCACAAGCACAATTATCATGGTGCTTTGTCGCAAACGCTCGCACAAGGTGGAGGTTGCGTAGAGGAAGAAGAGGAGGAGAGAAGATGAGGAGAAGGGCAAAGAGAAGCAGGGGCAAAGACGAGGAGGAGGAGGAGGAGGAGGAGGAGAGAGAACAGGAGACAAGAAGGAACAAGGAGAGAGGAGCGAGAAAACGGCGACGAGGAGGAGAGAAAAGGAAGGCTGATGACAGGAAGCCGCCGGCAGCGGAAAACAATGACAACGACGGCTACCTAGGCTGAAGCACAAACAGCAGCAGCAGCAGCAACAGCATCAGAAGCACCATCAGAAGCAGCAGGAAAAGCAAGAGGAGTAAGAGGAAGCAAAGGATAGGACGAGCAGCCGCCGTCGGCGGCGAAGGAGAAGCAGGAGGAGGAGAAGGAGGAGGAGGAGGAGGAGGAGGAGGAGAAGGAGGAGGAGGAGGAGGAGAAGGATTGCCAGGAGGGGCAGCACATGCACGACGACACAGGAAGCGCTGACGTCAACGCACAGGCATGCAGTCATGCATCTTGTACCGACCACTTACAACGTGCATGTCGATCGACTGTGTCCTTTGTACGATCGACTCCTCTCTCTTGTCGAACTCAACTCTGGAATTCGTCACTCATGATCGATCTCCTCCCTCCTCATCTGCTCCCTGCTTCTTCAGCTGTCCGTCTCCTTGAGAGCTTCTACCGCTGAAGTCACCCGACGTATTTCGCTCACTCTTCTTATTATAACGGATGAGTCCAACGGCCATCTGACACAACGGTAAGCGTACTCGCAGTGCTCTGACTTTCCGGAATATACTGACAGCCAGCCAGCCATTGCGGGCCGTTCTGCATGAATCTGACCGCAATCACGTCCAGGGGTCTGCGGAATATATTGGCCGCGTTTGTGAGCCGTTCTGGATGAATCTGACCGCAATTACGTCCAGGGACAAGTGGAGAAAGTACGAGTGGACAAGAGTCCGCCCGTGTGTACCAACCCGCCCACCCGCCCAACCCCCCCCCAGTAGCAGCAGAAGAAAAGAAACTCGGGGCACATGGGCTCGATCCACTACTCGCGAGATGTGCAAAACGAGAGTGAATATTCCGCTAGAACATGGAACGATACACCGCCATGAATTTATTGTCTTTTGTGGATGTCGAGAGTTGTGGAGCGAGGGCCAGAGTCAGACTGGGACTACTTCGTTTTTTGTTTTTGGTTTTTTTTCCAAGTGTGGTCCGAAGGACCACAGGATCACAGGACGGATACTAGCCAAAAGGCCGAGATCAGTGATGTTCCTAAGGGCATAGTCCCAAATCCCTTAAAAACAAAGGGTCGCGGGCCGATCACACAGATTTTTATTTTTTATTTTTTTATTTGTTTTTGGGGAAGGGCGACAGCCTTGAGATATCGTCATTGAGCTGAGTGGCCCCAGGGCCAAGGTCCCCTTAGCAAAGAGGATAGAGCTCCTGCATCTGGATGTGTTTTATGCAGAGGTGCAGAAAAGCAGTTAATCTCGATTTCCTGCACCTCTCCACAATTAGGTCCATCATATGGATCGAAGTCCGAACTCAGGTCTATATTTCAGCACTTTTTGGGTGATGCGATCACACACATTTGACGAAGTACTATTGGTGTGCCCATTTGTTTGTTTTCCGCATTTTCTTCAAAAATTGGCAAAAAAAAATCGTTTCACAAAAGTTCTTGCACAAATTGTGGAGGGCGCCATGTGACCAGCCAAGTACCAAATCCCCATTTCTCGAGACGGCCGCGACCTTCTCGCATCTGAAAAGGTGCAACAGTGTGACGTGAACCATGCCCAAAACCTCAAATCGGCCCTATGCCCAAAACCTCAAATCTTCTCTGTATCGTTCCAATTTTAACGGATGTCCCGAAGGACTCAAAACCTCAAATCGGGCCTTCCCAAATCCGCATTTTTTGTGGATTTGAGGGCATACTCACACTGCCAATTTGAGGGCATACTCACACAGCCAACCCAAATCCGCAAAATATGCGGATTTGGGAAGGGCAGATTTGAGGTTCTGGGTCGGACTACTGTACCTTTTCGGATGGGACAAGGTCACCCCAGTCTCGAGGAATGGGAATTTGGTACTTTGCTGGTCACACGGGACCATCCGCAAATTGTGCAAGAACTTTTGTGAAAGAATTCTTGCCAAAAAAATAAATGGGGCATTTGTGGTCACCTCCAGAGGTGGAGGTGACCACAAATTCCTTGCCCTGCAACTTCCCAGGCCGCTGACAAATGGGCACACAAATAGTACACTTGGTATTTTGGCAAATCTGTGTGACCGGCCCTCACCCCTTTCTTTTGGGGAATTTGGGATTATAGGTCCCATTGCCAATGTGAGTATGCCCTGAGGTCTTAAGTGTGAGTATGCCCTAAGTCCCAAGAGATATGATGTTTGCCTGGTCAGGAGATCTTGCTTGGGAAAGACAAACCAGATGATCTGAGATCCTTGTTTTTTCTAGAGTTGTGGAGCAAGGCCCATAGCCACACTGGAAGATAGTACACTCGATCTTATCCAAAAGGGCGAGAATGATGTTCCTAAGTCCTGAGAGATATGATCTTTACCAAGTCAGGAGATCTTGGGAAAGACAAACCAGATGATTTGAGATCCTTGCAAACAAACAAATAAGGGCCTCCTTAGACACTCCTCGGGGATGTGATTCCAAGGATTTAGTCCTCGTTCCACCTGTCCTCGGAGTCTATTTTCGAAAAGAAAATGTGAAAACACTCTGAGGACAAATCCTCGGGCTCAGGTTGGTGAATGTCTGAGTAGCTTGTTGGCCAGGCTATTCAGTAAGCTACTTTTTTTTACTCTGTGCTTCAAGGTTTAATATTTATGAAAGCGATTTGTTTCAGTTGGGATACTGGACCCGTTTTCCAGGAGTTGTAGGGGCGGGTTGAGCTTTGCTCGTAAGCGAAACTGGCGGAGGCTGCCAGGATAATCCCGGGTTGAATTGTGAGGTCCCCGGCCTCGTCCCAATTGTTTATGCAATATATATATGGAGCTTCCCCMCCCCCCCCCCAAAAAAAAATAATAATAATTAATATCCTCGGGCTCTGAAGATTTCCCAGGCAAATTGTCCTTGGCTCCAAGGGACCTCATGAGGTCCTTTGGAGCCCGAAGATCCGCGATTCACGGGGTGGCATTGTGACAAACCAATTTCTGTTTCGCGCAATCTTCTGCGCGATGACAATGAGGGGTCCTAAGATGGGAAGGTTGGGCCAATTACGGGAGATCGGGATCAAAGGGAAATTGCATCAGTGTCCTCGCTTCTTCGTCCTTTTTGCGTCATTTGTTTTCGGATGGGTTCAGGGCCGGGCAAGTCCCGAGACGGCCGATTGAGTGGCTGGCGCGCCGATAAAGGTGCAATTAATAATGGTTGACATCACTTCTCTCCTGTTCTGTTGTCGGATTTTAGGCGCGGAGATCGTGCGGGAATTTTCGCTTCGTTCTTTTCGAATTTTCCTCTTTCTTCTTTTGAATCTTGTCGAGCCTTGACGGCTCTCAGAACTTCGGATTTTTCTTTTCGGAATTAGTATTTCTTTTTGCATTAGCTAGAAATTTAGGAATTTAGGAATTCAGGATTTTTTTGCCGCGCGCTGTCTTTCTTGCGCGCTTCTTTTTGCGGCTGCAACGGAGTTCTGATTAGTCAGCGCCCTTAATCTTGCACGTAACTGTAATTTTTGGGCGGGCGCCATTGTAACTGTATCTTTCTTCTTGAACTTCGTCTTTCCCACTCCTTCTTTCCCTTCTGCTGTGCCAGTTAGCACCACGGCCTGCATGCTCGGATCGATGCGTGGAGAGTGGCTACATCCCCCACGCCGCGGTCTGGCCATGCAGAACGTAGGCGCTCCCTCTCCTAATCCCCTTTCTAAGTCCTTGCAATTCCGTGTTCTTCGCGCATGCATGCACGCTATAAATTCCGGTTGCGCGGTTAGATAGCTCTCTTAACCAGTGGTTGGAAGCTCGAGGTAGTGCGATTAGTGAGGGTCGGCTCACGAGCGAAGTAAAAGGTGAGTGAAGTGGAAATCGGGCGACCCGACGAGCTGGTGCCGAATGCGCGGGGTTGACGGGTAGTGCTTCGACGGACTGTAGCGCGCGGGCGAACCTGATGAATGTAGGAGGACTAAGCGGGGTGACGGCTTCGTGGGTTGGTGCGTGACGACGGACTGTCCGCATCGGAGAGAGAGAGAGAGAAGAGAGAGCGAGCTGAGGTTGCTGGACGTGGATTTGCAATTTTCTTTGTCATGTCTCCCTCTTTGCTATTGTATATAAATTTTGATTTCGGCTCAGGGCGACTTGCCCGTTTCCTTTTGTTTTCGGAATCCTTGTCTCGGTTTCGTCCCACACTCGTTTTTTATCTCGGTTATGGTGTGTTTTGCCGAATAAGTGAATGAATGAATGTTATGTCGGTTGCTTTTCTTTTGTTTGGTCATTGCCCTTGCCTGCCATTACGATACACCCATAAGCATGGTAGGAATTTTTGTGTTGCTCCCGTTATTGCTTATCACTCTGATCCGCTGTTGTTCTGATATTGTCGTAATGCTTGATGAGTGATAACTTGCATATTCAGGAGTGAATGCTTACGGATCATCGAGTGATTAGATGCTTGGGTAGCCGCCCGTGGTTCGTGACGATTTTGCATTAGACTCTCGTTTTTGCGTTTTTGCGGGAACAAGCGAGTACCTCGCGGGATACGTGTATGCGCGATCTGATCTGCGCAGCTTGCACGTATCCACGCGCGGTGATTCACGACCATTAACGAAACTGATAGGCGGGGATTCTCCTCCTCACCCGCACCTAAACGGATTGGGACTCCCAATATCGCATCGAGAAATCCCCTTGCTGGTCAGATGCGCGCGAAAGGCTTCCACCACGCCGTAATGACAAGATGCCGAGCTTATGGGATTCAGAGTACTTTGAACCGTGGATAAAAGAAGAACTTAGGCAGAGACGACCATAATGTCCCTGCTTAACCGAAAACTGGTTGTATCCCCGGGAGTTTCATTGTGTTGTAACTAGCGACCCACGGTACCCCGACTACCCCACTACGTATAACACGCAATACTTCATATCCCCCGAATTTGCCGTTATCACTACCAACTTCCCTCCCTTCCGTATTCTTCTCCTGTATTATCAACTCATGGTAGTGCCGTGGAATTCCATCGCCCCGTATTGGCCCCGCACGCCGTGTGAAAATTGTCGGCGGCGCGGCAACAGACGAGTCTATGAAACTACGAGGCCTAACCAAAATGCGCGATGACAGACGCCACTTGCCTGCACCTGGAGGTCCGACTCATCGGAATCACAACCATTCCGGGCGGGCCTCTCCCCGAACCACCACCGCCAACACAGACGGATCGGATGGCCCTGAATGCACCGCGCATGCCATCTGCCTTATGCTGCACGAAACCGAACGCCGTCAAATTTGAAGTAACTCGCCCCTTTAGCTCGATTGCATCTATGCCCCTGAAACCCTGCACAGGAGATCTCAGTTCCGACCTGGGACTCCACCCCCACGTTCCCAAAAATCCTTGGCATACCCCTTTTCTCACTTCCAGGCCCACATCTCACTCCGATCAAGAAGTCGCGCCGGGCCTGAGGTTGGTATCGGAGCCCGACACGTGGCAGGGTTCTGAGACTCATAGCCGGGCGATCT